TTATAATTATTACTTAATGATAATTTTTTTATCTTGTACTCTTCACGAAGAGAATAGACAAACCTTCAAGCAAAGATGCAATCTGGAGAGCACATGTGGTGACACTACAGACAAAGTGCATTTTTGGTGCAATCTTTTTTCTTTTTTTTCAGGAAATTAGTGCGGTCATTTTGTTACAAGAAAATGAAAAGAGAACCAAGGAAATGATAGCAGAAGCTTGAGAGGCTGTTCTACATTGAATAATTTTGCCAATTTTTGTCGCTGATTTAGGTTCTATTTTATACATTACCAACACTAGAAGCAGTGAGGTAGGCTTAATAAGGTTCCATTTCTTCTTTATTCAGAGTTCCGTTTCTTTCATCACCTTTGATGACCAACACCAGTACATTATTTTTTACTAGAATTTGATATGGCTTAAGAAACTCGCACCTAGCCTTTCGATCAAGTGGTATGCTGCTACATTGAGGTGTATTGCCGTCCTCTTTGGGCGGGTTCGAACTTGTCCTTTGATAAATTGTTCAAAAAAAATATGGCTTAAGAAACTCATTGAAAAATGTGTTCTAAATACTGATGTGGCAAACTGTCTCCATTCCTAGACTTTTGGAAGTTTCTGTTCTTATCTACAAATAATTGTAAGGTCTGATTGCATGATGTCATCTCATCTCAAGTAAGCAAACATCAATTGTTGATTTTTTTTTTTTTTTTTTGATATATTGCAATTATTTACGGGTTAATTAAAGGATGGGCTCGAACGTGGAACCACAGGAGGAGGGGAGGTGAACAGCCTAACCCAGGCTATAATGCCACTGGCCGGAGCGGGCCATTCAAACATCAATTGTTGATAGATGAAGATTAATTTGAAGGTTGTATGTTTTCCCACCTGTTAATTGCTTGTTTTATATTGTTTATAGACGCTTTTTATTTAAAGCTCTGTTTCTGATGGTTTAAAGAAGTTTCGTCTTTCATGTACCAAAAAAAAAAAAAGAAGTTTCGTCTTTCGTGTCTTCTCATTCTTGATTTGGTTGTGTACTGCTAAGGGAAATCTGCTTAGATGGCAGGTGTATTTGCTTCTTCATCTAGATGTTATGGATGTACAATCCCTTCTAGCAACCTAGGGATACTGTTCTTATTTTTATTATGGTTTCAGGGCATCACCTATGGCTTCTATCACCATGCGGAACCTTATACTTTACACCACTAATGAAAATTGGCAGGAAACTTAGTTATTTCATATTCAAATCTAATCTCCCATTTCCAGGCTGTCTTCTCAGATCGATATTTACTTGATCAGTTTCCACTTTCAGGTTGTAAACCTTAAGGAGGCAAGGGATTTCTCTTCTGACAAGGAGTTCATGTATGTTTTGAAGGTAATGCATTATGGATATTATTCGCCAGCTTCAACTATCAATTAATTTCTGTCATTACAAGCATGTTTGTCACATGTCTCATTTTGTATATGTCTTAAGTTACTGTCTAATGATGCTAAATTCTTCTATCGCCGGAAACTTGAATGGAAATCTTTATCTGTTGATCTCCTGCCTCATCCAGATATGTTTGCTGACGTGCAAGGGGGAGCAAATCACATAGATGATAATGGTGCAAAGCGAGTTTTCTTTGGTTGAGAACGCTTTTTAGAAGGAATATCAGGAGAAGCTTATGTAATGCAAATCATTCATTTTCAAATCTGATTCTGGGTTTGCTTTTTTTATTCATTTTTTTTCCATGTTACATTGGGCTGTTTGGTGTTGGTTGCTTTCTTTACTGCTGTTTAGTGTTATGGCATTTCTAATTTCTTCTATGTGGTACATGACTTATGTTAATCTCAAAATTTTGTTTCAGATCACAGTGCAGAGGACAGAGTTAAACAGTCCACTAGGCCTTGAGGTTCAATTACATATCACAGAAGCTGTTTGTCCTGCATTAAGTGAACCAGGTAATTAGGTATCATGTTTTCATGGATTTGGTTAAGCTGGGTTTGGCTCCATTCAGCATGGATGGGTAGCTAAGCTACAAATTGATGAATATGGTTTAGTTTAGTTGAATTGGGAATCATGTTTTCAAGTAACTTTTTCTTTATTTTCTTTTGAATTTGTATATGGTACTGACATAGCATGGAACTGTCATACATTGATTTGAGCAGGACTTGGAGCTCTTCTCCGCTTCTTTACAGGATTGTATCTTTGTCTAAATAGAGGAGATGTAGATCCGAAGGCCCAGCAGGTTTTAAATTGTCTCATTGTAACTCATTTTTATATTTACAGTATTGTCTTGTTAACTTGTTCTGGAAAGATCTTACCAATCCCTCTCCTGCTTTGACTGTGATCCAACAGCGATCTGCTGAAGCAGCGGGACGTTCTCTGGTTTCTATTATTGTGGACCACATTTTTCTCTGCATTAAAGATGCTGGTTTGTGTCATTCTATTGTGTTCTGTTGCAGTTTGCTTTCTCTCTTTTCCTTATTATTCAGATATGTAATTGAAGTAGTAGTTTTATGATTAAAGCAATTCTAATGTAACATCTTTTGTCACATCCTTTTCATTATGAATAAGGACATTTCAAAGAGTTTCAACTTCTTGCAGAATTCCAGCTCGAACTTTTGATGCAGTCACTCTGTTTTTCACGGTTATTTTCCCTCAATGTCTGATATACAACTTGTTAATGATAATATCTTGCATTCCTGGTCAAGAATATTTGTGGCTCTGGATCTTTCAATATGTCTTTTTCTAAAATTTTCTTGCATTTGTGTTATGATGCTAATGAGAATCTTCATGCCATTTTTTAAAATTTCCTGCAGGCTAGTGTCTCTTATGGAGAAATTACCAGTTTCTTGTCTAAGGTTATGATTGGTGGGTTCTTTTTAAGGTAATCTTCATTTTTTTTCACATACCAAGGATCTAGGTTTATACACACAATTTTGTAAACTTTATCGGGGATTTAAAGTGTGGTTGAGATTACGTACTATTTATTGGATACAAGACTAGGTTTAAACATTTAGGCACACGGTATTTCTTGTCATTCATTATGATAGAATTAGCTGGTGATCAAGTAGTTTACTTTTGTTACAAAGTAGCTTGTTTGTGTTGTGCCCTTGTAGCTTTTCATTTCATTGTTTGTTGCGGACACACAGGCAACTCAACTTTAGTATGTTATGGTGTAATTTTGTTTTATATATTTGTACTGCAGGGATACCTTCTCACGCCCTCCGTGTACTTTAGTACAACCATCCATGGAAGCTGTCACGGATTCTTGTGTGAATATTCCTGATTTTGGTATGTTAAATTATTTATGAGATGTTAAAAGGTTTTTTTTTTCCCCCTCCTTTAAGCTTTCATGTTAAAGGTTAATCATGCTCATAAGTCTAGTTAGCTAATCATGCTCCATTCTTCTTTTTGTGTTTGAACAGGTAAGAATTTCTGCCCTCCAATATATCCAGTAGGTGAGCAGAAGTGGCAACTAATTATGGGTGATCCTTTAATATGCATTCACTCTCTTCAAGTGAAGCCCTCTCCATTCCCAGCTTCCTTTGCATCACAAACAGTGATTGAATGCCAGCCACTTATGGTATGCTGTTTTGGTGAATGCTTACTTCTTTCTCAAATTATGCTACTTTTTTATTCCTATTCTGATTCTCCATTTTTTGTTCAGATTCATCTTCAGGAACAATCTTGTCTAAGGATATCCTCTTTCTTAGCTGATGGAATAGTTGTAAATCCTGGTGCCCTTTTACCTGATTCTTCAGTTAATTCCCTTGTATTTACCCTCGGACTTGGACATTAGTGTTCCTCTAGACACAACTAAACTGGATAATCCTAGTAGCAAAAGGATCCTTACTGTTGAAAAGTCCTTTGCTGGAGCTAGACTTCATATTGAAAAATTGTTTTTCTCTGAGTCACCTTCACTAAAACTCAAGCTACTGAACCTGGAGAAAGATCCTGCTTGCTTCTGTCTCTGGGAGGGTCAACCAATTGACGCTAGCCAGAAGAAATGGACAGCTGGAGCATCACAACTTAGTTTGTATTTGGAAACATCTGCTAGCTTAACTGGACTTCAGAGTTATGCTGGCTGTACTTCAGGCTTATGGAGGTGTGTCGAGGTTAAAGATGCTTCTGTTGAGGTAGCTATGGTATCTGCTGATGGGAATCCTTTAAGAATTGTTCCTCCTCCTGGCGGTGTTGTCAGAGTCGGGGTTGCTTGTCACCAATATTTATCCAATAGTTATGTTGAGCAGTTATTTTTTGTCTTGGATCTCTATACATACTTTGTAAGGTTAGTGAAAAGATTGCCATAGTTGGAAAGAGTAAAAGACCTAAGATGGATAAAAATGACTCTCTCAGTCAAAGTTTGATGGGGAAGGTTCCTAGTGATACTGCTGTAAGTTTAACGGTAAATGATCTCCAGCTTAGATTTCTGGAATCATCCTCCTCCTTCAATATCCATGAAATGCCTCTGGTTCAGTTTATTGGGAGAGATCTGTTCATTAAAGTTACTCATAGAACTCTTGGTGGGGCTATTGCTGTTTCATCCACTTCGTTTTGGGAGAGGATTGAGGTGGACTGTTTAGACAATGGGAGAAACCTGGTAAATGAGAATCGAACAATGTTAGATTCAGTTGAAAATGGTTCTCTTGTCACTTTGAATGGATATCCTCCCCTTAAAGCTGTCTTTTGGGTTGATAACAAAAAGAAGCATCAATCAAATGGAAAAGCTTTTGTGATTCCTTTTCTCGACATAAGCATTGTACA